GAAATACAACTGATTTTGTAGTTTGATTCATCTCTAGGAGCACGGCTAACTCTTTTGTTAAGATCCTGTTTATGGAAAACCTCTAAATTGTGCTTTTTTCTGAACTCTACATCACAACAATCATTAACAAAGAAGAAAATTGCAACTAAATGGGTGTCGGTTTTTCCTTCACACACCACGCAGCGGACACCACTTGGGTGTCCTCTAAATAAATTCTGACACTCTCCTTGGAGGTAGTGTCAGATTTCACAGGGTGAGCGTTCAGTCTTCAAAACTGCCTTCCCCTTCCTACCATGTGCGAGTCCAGGCCTCCGGAACTTTTGACCAACTGACTTTAAGTTGGGGTTTTAATGCCCCCCTCCCCCACTTTGTATTGGATTTGCTCCTTGGAGTGGCTCACAAAACTCAGGGAAACACATTTACCAGCTTATTATAAAGGATATTGTAAAGGACATACATGAAGAGATGTGTAGGACAAGGTATGGAGAAAGGGGGGCACCACCCTCCAGGAACCTCCCTGTGTTTAGTTACCTGGAAGTTTTCCAACCCTGTCTTCTTGGGTGTTTACAGAGGCTTTATCACATAGGCATGATTGACAACCATGTAGAAACGTGATTGGACAGAAAGCTCAAGGTCTAAACCCAGCAGGGCTTGTCTGTTTAGACTTTTTTGGCCTCTCTGAGCAGTATTCTTCCCTCCAGAGTATAGGGCAGGACCCTGTCTGGAATGAGGGTCTTTTGACCCACAATCAGATTAGACTCCTACCTCGGAGTGGTGAAAGGAAGACCGGAGAAGGTCAGAGAGAGATGTATTCTTTTCTGAGCAGTGTTTTGAGGCCTAAAGTTTCTCAGTACTGTAACAAGGACTACAGGAGTTATGAGCCAGAAACCGTGGAGGAAAACCAATATACGTATATCACGACACCACAGCCACAAAGTGTATCTGTGAGTCTTTCTATATACGTCATCATGCTGTTTATGAAGAAAGACTTTTTTAAAAAAATTTCTTTCCAATTCTTGTATCGTGCATTTATTTTTATTGCCTTACTATGCTAGGACGTCAAGGTACCTCATTAGGTATGATGTTTGCCAAAGGCACCTTTTATCTTGTTAGGGAAACTATCTTTATTTCTGGTTGGGTCTGAGTTATATCATGAAGGAATTTGAAGTCATCCTGTGCTCATTTTTTCATCTCTGAGATTTAACCAGTTCAAGGCCAACATGAAAATAGAAACCATTCTATATGCATCAGCAAGGGAATTTAATATAAAGATTTCATTATTCATGTGTTGGAAGGCTGATAGAACACAAAGGTAAGACAGCTTAGAAGTCTCGGGACACTCTAAGTACATGGTCTGAAATTTACTAGACCAATGTGAAT